GAAAATAGGACAGTTTTGGACGAGTTTGCACTTTTGTGTGTTTGCGCCGCACTCGGCTGAGTCGGACGTCTCCGCATTGACCACAAAGATCCAACTACGAGTTGAATGAAGACAGAAGCAGCAGAGTGTTGTAACCCTTCCGTAGAGTTTGATCCTGTAGCACCAGCAAGAGAGAGTGTGTGAATGTATGTGTGTGAATGTATGTGTGCGGGTGTATTATTGAGGGAGAGAGAGGGGGGCGGGTGTGGGGGAGTGGCGGACTCCTGCTACTCTGTTTGCGCTATGCCCAACACTTCCAGCGTCTTTGTTTACAGCTCTGCTCTTTTCACACAGAATTGATGATTACATTAAACACATTGCTTTTGGCAGGCACGGACACACACACACACACACACACACACGTTTCCATGATGGCACACACACACACTGGGCTCCACCGTGGTGACCTTTCAGATGCAGATGCAACAGCAGCTTCGCTACACTGCCGAAATATCAACATCTTCTGCTCTCTCTGTGCTTTCTTGGACGAGTGTGGCAGGAGGTTAGCCTTCCTGTGCATGCATATTGACTAAACACACACACACACACACAGACACACAATGACCTGTGCACAGCGATCCCATCGTTAGATCCGACCTAATTCATTCAACAGCTTCGGCATCCGACAACCCCGCAGTGCACTCTGCCTGCATCTACACATTTACTCCGAGCTGCACAATCTTATCTGTTTGTTTTTCTTTGAACACACTGGGAAATGTGGGGTTTGTTGCTGTGAGGGAACGAACCGCGGCGGCATTTGTTTTGGGACCGAGCTCTGCCTGGAGGGTCACCATAACTCTGCCCGTGGAAGCCGAGACCGTGTCATCGCAGATAGTTAAGAAACCGAACGCCTGGGTCCAGCTGACCTGATAAGTAATGTTTATCTACGCCGCCACACCTACAGCGTGACTCAAACGCCGCCGTGGTCATCAACAATTGGGAAACAGATAGATCGAACTTCCTGTTGTTTTGCTGATAGGGATTTTCCAGAAATGAGCTTAAATGGTCTTCAAAAGTCTGGTCACAAAAAGACGAACTGAAGTTTTGACTTCGTTTTGAGTTATCAGGATAGGTATATTTTAAAATGTCATATTCAAAAGAGAAAAACAAACAAATAAAAAAAACAGAAATAGATCAAAGTTCGCCGACTGTCTCTCACGCGTACACACAGTCATGTGGTCGCACACAGGTTCACGTGCAAGCGCACAACCCCCGAGGGTGAGGAAACTATTGATGGTGAAAGTGGGAAGAAAGTGTAAACACATGTCTGGCGTCCTTTCAAAAGACAAATATTTCTCTCCTTTTCTTCCCTTCAACTCTCTGAGGGATCCCCACCCATCACCTTTATCCTTCCATCCCTCCAGCTCCACCGGATCACGTTCTGCTCCGCGCCTGTTGGCCGAAGGGGGATCATAAATCACAGGACATGACGGAGATAGGAGTGGAGAAGCACACGCAACCATTTGATGCAAATGTATGTGGAAAGGGCGGGGGTGGAGGTGCTGGGTTCATATTAGCGTTGGAGGAATACAATCCCTGCCTTGACGAATGTGAGATACGACACAGGAGATGTCACCAGAGCCCTGAAACTGTTGCACGGCGCCTCCAGTGCCGTCACGTAGGTGCTTCTGTCCGTCTGGCCTCCTCAGGTCTGATCCGTTCATTTTACAGCCTCTCCATTCACCTGTCACCATGACTCAGGGATGTATTTCACGGCTCTGTCCCCTTTGCACGTTTCCTCCTTCTTTCGCATTTGTCTGGAGACTACGTCTAAGATTTGGATGTAGTCGCCATGATCTTATCAAGTAGTTTGTAGACTGCGGTTTTGAAGTCTGAAGTTTCAAACTTTGAAGTTTTTTGTTGTCGCGGTTTTTGATTTTTGTAACCAGCACTGCAATTGCTTACAAAATAAGGAAACGCAGGCAACGTTACAATCCCTTTTTATGAACTGGCTATTCACCGTTAAAGGGTTAAAGTTGTAGGATTATAACAGGGACACTTTTCTGAAGGTACAACGCTGTGGAAGTTTACCAAATACAAATACTGGTGAATGAAAGAAGGCCTGAAACTAGTAATTAAGTTGTCCTTACAGACTATACTGAGGTAAGAAATCAAGAAAATAGTAAGGTCATTTTCTCGTGGACTTAGATTTTATTTCACAGCCTGGTCAGTTGAGAGAATGCAAGATTAAGGCACTACTACTACTAAATTATATTCGGACCAGTAGATCCAGAACACAATTCTTCATTATTATCCTCCTAAGAAAGGGGAAATACAGCTTTTACACCCATGCAATACCAAAAAACAAAAGCAAACAAACCAGACTGACTGACTTTACAAACAGGCAAAATAAACTTATGAGTAACTGCTCATCAACTGTTTACCAAAGGGTTAAAAAAAAAACATCTTCTGCCCACTATTTGTATGAACGTTTCAGGATTTGCTACAGACATGCTCAGTGTATATTAGATAGAGGAGGTTAAAAAATAAACAATGTGGCAGCTAACAATTGCTTCCTCTATTATTGACTCTTTTCTTTGATTGGTTGGGAAAGTGAAATAGAGAACCAGTTTTAGCTCTGAGAATTGTTGGTTTTATATATCTTTTCAGTTTACTAGAGTCACATGCTTGAACACATCTTCAGCTGCAGCTTCCACAATAGAACTACGTTGTGGCTCGCTCCTTTCTCTGGAATCGCATAAAAGAAACTGCAAAGCGCTTTTCAAGGAAAAGGAAAATATCTATAAAATCTCTCTCTGAGACTCAGGACTCATACCACATGTCAGATGTAAAAGATTAATAAATGGTGTTCCTCTTTGGACCATCAGAGGCCACAGGATGTTGTGAGACCACAGGACTGCTCAGTCATACTTCCATGACATCCAACGCTGTGGAAAACAACTTAATTCAGTAACCACTCTTGTTTAAGTCAACTCTTCGAATCCAATAAGGACTGGACTTACTTAAATGAACGTCGTCATGCTCTCTTCATCCGATTCCTGCCTGAGAGTTTGTGAAACTGGAGCTCAGAAACAAACGGCTGAATGAAACGTGCTAAGATATTCACGTTGATCTCATACCGTAGCCTTGGACTGCCAGTGGCTCAATAGTACTATCTTTAGACACCACACACACACACCTTAGAGATGTAGGCCTACAATGGATTAGCTTTGGCCAGGTGAGATGAGATAACTCAAGAATAATTTGTCACTATGATAAGTGATCTGTCATAAAGGCTCCTAAGGGTACGATCGTGTGAGATAAAACACACCAGTTGTGTCCTGGAGCCGTCCACTATGTGCCAGTGTGTGTGTGTTTGTGTGTTGGAATGCAATGCAGACAGGCTGGTTTGCGTGATGTCCATGTCTTTAAATGGGGATAGAGCTTAGTGATTAACCGTGCACTTCAGGGGTGCATGAAGGAGACAAGGAGGAGAGAGGGGGAGGAGGTGATGCCGAAAGGACTGCCAACACGATGCCAGGAAAGGCTGCTGATCCCTCTCTCTCTCCCTCTCTCTCTTTTGTGCCAGCTTACCTGTGTGTCTCGTACCAGAGACATAACCACAGGGGTAAACAGACATACTGACCATCAACAGCCAACAAGGAATGGAGGGGGGGGAAACACACACACACACACAAACACACACACACGTAAACCCATGCACTCAGTGTCACGCACAGAGAGAAAGAGAAAGCGGACAGCTCAGCAGGCGGTCAAGCACTGCAGCGGCAGCAGGCGGCAAAAATATCTTCTATCTCTGCTTTGTTCCGTGGTCCTGAGATGTCTCCGGCGGCGGGCACGTGATAGGCTTTAAGGACGAGATAAGACAGAGAGGGGGACTCTTGCCGATGCGCTGGCTCCCCTAATGGGACATGCATCTGCATGGTCACACTCTCATGCACAGCGCAGAGTGTTGCATGTTTGTCGGATGAGGATGTGTGGAGGAGGAGCTTTAAATAGCACCTGGAATATCTGTGTGCACTTAAAAGCAGACGTTCCACAGCAGGCATGAGGCACGTGGGCCTGTTGGGTGGAGACAAGTCTCATTACTGTTTATGGAGATTTTATTTAGTTGTTTTATTTTTAGAGATGGTCTGCACTCGTTGCTTTAGTCTACAACAATTCTCTCCAATCATCCTGAACTGTTTGCTAATTTTCTGTAACTCAAATATCTTCCTCCTGAATCATATCCACCTCTCTACACTGTGACTACTCTTTTCACAAAATGCTAAAACATCAAAAGAAAATGCTTTTTTCTCCGGCACTATAAGTTGAACGGGGCCATGACAGTTTGTTTCCTTATTGTTCATAATCTTTTTGATTTACAACCTGCAGATCTAATTGTGCACCAGGAACTAAGGAAGCGTCAGCTGGAAAACCTAAACTGACACTACAGACGTGTAGATGTTGACCTCTAGTGGGGAAATGTGAATCTTGCAAACACATGCTTTTGTCTAACGTGTTCTCTTCAAACCATCACAAAAATAGGATTCTGCATATCGGCGTATCATGATTTAGGATTTTGTGCTGGATTGAAAAGTTTCAAAATACTGAGTCTTGCTTAGCAGGTGGTGCTTCTCACTTTCTTAAAGGAAAAAAAAAGGAAAAAATATTTAATTTGCAATTATGTCAGGGCCTAAGGTTCGTTGCTCATACGGAAATACAAAACGGAATAAAGGACCACAAAGGTAAAACAATCATCCAATGTGAAAACATGTACATGTTAGAGGCCAGGTTTTTGGATTGACCGAATAAAACGGATACAGATTATAAACAACAAAAATCACAAATACATAAAGGAGAAAAGGAAGAAAATATGGGTTTTTATTTAGTGAACTGACTGTTGAATGATGGAGCGTCACAGGTGCCGTGTCCTTGTCCTCCTGTGGAGGGCGCCAAAACGGATGACTGAAACGAAGAAGAAGACGAAGAGGAAGAAGAAGAAGCAGCAAGGCCGCGTATTTCCGGGTTTGTGCTGACGCGTCCCTCTTCTCCTCATACTCCGACGTGTCAGTCTTCTTGTGTCCCGAGCTGAGCAGCCCACGGACCGGTCAAACCGCACACATGGCTCCCAAAGGCAGCAACAAGCAGCAGTCAGAGGAAGACCTCCTCCTCCAGGACTTCAGCAGAAACCTTTCAGCGAAGTCCACCGCTCTCTTCTACGGGAATGCACTCATCGTCTCTGCCATCCCCATCTGTGAGTACCCGACTGGAGCGGCTAGCCGATGCTAACTAGCCTAGCTAACACCCCCCCCGCACCCGCACCGGAGGAGTAATTTAGGGGAAAAAAACGATTTAATGCTGATCTCGTCTAGCGCTCTTTGAATAAACGTGATTAGCTAAACGCGTTCAAAGGCAGGAGAGCATAATAATACAAGGAAATCAAAAAGAGCGACTGTGATGTGGCAACGGTGACGTTAGCTCACTGAGTGCTAACCCGTCAGTGTGGTTACTCTGGGTTAGAATCATGGTCACATTACATAGAATCTACTGACTTTAGCCATCTATGCCATAGATGGCCAGTAGTCATTGTAATTATGTTTTTTATTTTTATTTGAAAAACAGCAATGTAATACATCTAGGATGAGATCCCTTTTTCTAATGTATTAGAAAACAATTGTATTATATCATGTGCTTTATCAATGGCCCGCATATTTTAAATGTCGATTGACTTTCTAGGGCTGTTTTGGAGGATTTGGCACATGGATCTTGTGCAGTCTGCGGTCCTGTACGCCGTGATGACTCTGGTCAGCACCTACCTGGTGGCCTTTGCCTACAAGAACGTCAAGTTCGTTCTCAAACACAAGTAAGAAACCTGAACCCACACGTCGGTTTCTCTCTCCTGCAAGTGGTGGATGCTTTCATCGGGGATTCACTTGTGCTTCGGTCACATTGTCTTCTCTCCTCGTCCTCCCAGAGTGGCCCAAAAACGCGAGGACGCCGTTTCCAAGGAGGTGACTAGGAAGCTGTCTGAGGCGGACAACCGCAAGATGTCCCGCAAGGAGAAAGACGAGAGGTGAGACTCAACGTGAAGCCGTTCGCTTTTTTGTGTTGTGTGGCAAAACATAAATGTGTATAAAAGCTTTAACTGAGTGCTGCTAAAAAGGAGCCTCACCTATCGGACACACACACAGTTTCGTTCCTGTATTTTTACCAGATCACGAAAGTAACTTTTCTGTCCATCTAGGATCCTGTGGAAGAAGAATGAGGTCGCCGACTACGAGGCCACCACCTTCTCCATCTTCTACAACAACACTCTCTTCCTGGTGCTCGTCATCGTTGCCTCCTTCTTCCTGCTCAGGAACTTCAACCCGTCTGTGTATCCTTTTATCCATCAGCTTATTAACGTTTGCGATAGGAAGCTATAAACCTCTTTCTTGAGATGGTATGAGGGCAGTGAAGCTTTCTGTTGTCATTCAGCTCGTGTTTTTGCCTTAACCAATATTTTCCAGCAACTACATTCTGTCCATCAGCGCCTCCTCGGGACTGATCGCTTTGCTGTCCACAGGCTCCAAGTGAAGGAGGAAGAGAAGCTGCAGGGGAGCGATTGGCGAAGAGGGGAGGAAGTGGGTTAAAAATTAAAGGGTTTAAAGGACTGAAATATCACATTTCAACTTCATGAAATTCATGATCAAATGTTTTGGGGGGAGGGGGGGGGATGTTTCTCCAGGTCAGTCTTCTGTTTTTTGTAACAAATATAGCAACCTGGTGTACTTTTCCTCTGTTTTGTGCTTTGCAGTGTACTTTAAAAGCCCTTGGAGAAGAAAATATGGACATTCAATGTTTCAGAACCTGCTTAAAAAAATATTGTTACACAAAAGCGAGTCGAAGATGTTTCCATTGGCAACGCGTTTAATTTATAATCACACTTTCATATAGACTATATACAGAAAATAAGAGAATGGTACAGATGAATTCACACTTAAACACCCTAGCTCAATGTTTTATCCACAAAAGTAATTATTAGGTAATATGCTGTAGACAAATTTGATATGCAGAAGAGATTATTTTACTTTTTTGGGGGGGGGGATTAATCTAGGTTTTCTTCAGATCAGAAAAATAAATCTTGGGTAAAAGACCTGTTATGCGAGTCAGAGCTCAGAATTCAGCCACAGCTTAATTGTTTCTGGCTTTGTTACATTTTTCCCTCCAGTTTCCCTACATCAATTTATTACACTTCATTGACACCCAAATGAACGTCGTATTGTTTCCCTCTGAGCTGGTAAAGACTCCGAGCACCAACCGATGCATCATGAAGCAAAAGGCTGCATTCGCTTGGGCGAAACGGCCTGAATAAAAGCCACGATGGAACAAAGCCATCGCAAGCTGTGTGGGAGGAATCAGTGGACAAGAATGATTCTTCCAGAAGCTGTTAACTTTTATTTTTTAAGGTACACTGAGCAGCAGCAGAGAAGGAAGAACGAGTGGTGGGAACAAAGTGAATACACCTTTGTTGTTTCAAAGCGGTTACGTTCTAGACACAAACACGCTGCTGCACGTCTGCACAGCTGCCGCCTCGCGGCGCTCTTTGTCTCGCCGCTGTGGTTTTCTCTGCTCTGCGGTCGTGTCTGAATACGCGGCGATGGAGGAGACCAGTTGGTCGCCATCTGCTGCCACTTTGTTTCGTGGACCCGAGGTGGAGCCTCAGCAGGACAAAGCCGCGCTATTCAAAGACCTGTGAACCAGAAAGTGCTGCACCTGCTTATTGGAAACACAGAAGGGGAACAGAGGGACAGGGACGCACCTCTTATTGGTGGGAAGATGACAGAGGGGTTCTTTCTGTATCACGCTGTTCTTCTAAGTCAATACCCACTGAGGTACCGGGACACAAAATTGCCACCAGGCAGTTCTCATTTCTGTTTTTTAATAAGCGAATGTCCAAATGAGCCAACAGATGATATATAGTGTAGATTAGCCATCCAATAATACAGGAATCTGCCTGTTGGTCTGTTCTCACTTTGTTTAACAACTTGTGTTGGAAGACATCCCTGATTTTGTCTTCCCGGGACTCCACGCACACCGGCAGGCCGCGAGGTCACTGATTCAAACGCAGAGGCAGCTTGTTGACTTGTTGACGAGTGCACCTCATACATTTTACTAATTACTATTTCCGAACATTAACCACTCATCGCCCACGTTATGAAGAGGAGAGTCCGATTTTTCAGATTGCTGGTCGGTTGCTTTACGGCGATGAAATCAGGTCACCCTTCTTTTTGCGTGACAATGTGAACAATTCAATGCAAATATTCACGAGAAGGTGTGTTGATACCGAGGCCACACTTCTTTAAGTATACCGCGGGCCAAACACGTGCTCACTGATGCTTGATCTTAAAACAGCATTTCTGGGGAATGTCTGAATGAGGATAACATTTCGTAGGATTAGAAATGCGTTGGCGGTTTGAGCTGTCTTACTCTTACTTGTGAGCCTGGTCATCATTTCTGCTGGTTGCTGCGATGGCTTGATTTCCAGATGAATAAAAACCCACTGCGACAACGACGTGAGCTGTGAGAGCTGAGCCACCGAGTCAGAGACAGTTAGTGACTAACTTTGTGATGCAGAAACAAAGAACATTTTAGTCCTCATATATACTTTTGTGAAGTATCTTTCAGGACCCAGAAATAAGTTCTGTGACGTTGTAAAGTCAGGCTGGAGGAGGCTGGACTTAAACAATACGTTCGGAGCAGCAACGTAACTCTATTTACATCATATCTATATAGTTGCCATATACAGTACTGTGAAGTCGTCATATGCATGAGAGGATTCTTCCTGGTTTCGCTCGTGTTACAAAGTACGCCATTAGATTTTATGTACATGAAACATCCTCACAAATCTCCAAAAAATATCCCAAAATGTCAAAATAAATTTCTATATATCAACTACTCTAGAATAAATACTGTAATCTTTGCCACATTCAAAAGACCCTGCCTCTTTATGCCGATACCAAGCAGTAGTTATTATGATCATGACCAGCCAGAAGGCCAGTCATTCTTTCATATGATGGGTTTGCTCTAACTTTTTCTCTGCTAGGTTTTTTGAGGCAATCAGCATTTCGGGTTCAGTTCACAGGCGACAAAGGGAGTCAAATGTCTCCATCGTAAATGCAAACAGAGAGAAACCATGTCCACTTCAGATGCAAAGGGTCATTTCTTCTTCTCTATGAGCGGAGCAGCAGTTCCTGTAGGACCCCACAAGGGGGCGACATGCTTCCCTCTCTCTCCACTAAGAGGGTCCCACTGAGGCTCCACAATCCTTTGCTTCACCACAGATGACAAGCTCGCAGTGCTTTTCATCAAGCTCCTTTCTGTCCCTTTCTGTGCTTGGTAGAGAAGTAACGATAGGCACACAATAGCAGGAGAAACATGCATCTGTTGGATAACATACTCAGGATTTGCAGCCTATAATTTCTACTGTATGCTATTCTGTGCTACACTAAATATGCAACTATATTTAGTACATTTGATAAGTAGTTCGAAGGTAATTCGAGCAAACAGGGAACTGGTTGTCTGAGGCCTCATACACAAAGTTCTTTTAAAGAAGTGTGATAACTGTCATTGCATGAAACATGTTGGTTCTGATGCTCGACCACTGGTCCATTGAATGAAAGCACCTGACTGACTGGCTGGTGTTTATGCAACAAAAGCATCTTCATCTGCGCCGACTTTTCTAAGCTGCCTCTAATGCGCGAGTGTATGCCGCTTGTATTGACGCGGTCTGTCAAGTGGTAAAGTAAAAGATTTTACTCAGCAACTACTATGACGGTTGCCCTTGAGCAAGGCACCCTCACTTGAAAGAGTCCATCCTCATCATACTGTCCTGTCCTCAAATCCCAAATGTGAATGTGTAAAGAACGTGTATGCCTTACCACCTGATTTGTGAATGTCTTAATGAGAGGGAGTTGAACTGAGATGTGGGGCTCTAGATGGGTGTTTGTAAGACTAAGCTCTGCATAGATATATTTAAATGGAACGGCCTTGAAAGATAACACCTTAGTTGGGAGGTGTGTGTGTGGGGGGGGGGGGCAAGTTCTCTATCTCCTTTGATGGACTAAGATGCGTTTTGAGGCTGCAAAAAGCTGAGTTTGTTACGCGTCTCTCGGCAGGACCTGAGATGAACCCGATCTGAGCAGGACGGCGCTGGGCTTAGCGAGTCTGTTCCAGGCTAAAGGGGCGAGGGGGGGGGCTGGAGCTGAGTGGGGCCCGAGGAGAGAGCCGCGGACTTAAACATTGGAGGGCAGGTCCATGGTAACAGTATGCTTCAGTAGGTAGGTGAGCAGCCTAGGAGCGGTAGTCCTTCTTACTGTACGGTCTGTTGCCCAAGATGTGGTCGATTTCAGACACCACCTGAGATGTCATCTTCGGAAGGACCTGGGCGAGAAAGGGAGGAGGATCAATGGGAGGTCGGCTAGTAGAGCCGAACCACAGTGTGTTTCTGCGTGTTCCCACCTGTATGGCCCCGAGGTTCTCCGTGAGCTGCTCAGGGTTGGATGTTCCCAGAAGAACTGAGCTCACGCCTTCATTTCTAAGACACCACGCTGGAGAGAGAAAGAGAGGTTGATGTTCCCGCAGAGCCCACTTGGAGGCGCCCTGCTGATTATTAATGTCTTTAAAAAAAACAGAAATAAAATTGAGCTTTTAGCCTTGTCATTTATTGGCTCCTTTGCAACAATTCCTCTGTTTGTCTGAGCCCATTTATTACCAGTTGCGAACCATAAATGTCCGCCGGCCTTTTTTCTAAAGTACATCACAGAGTTTTAAACGTTATTTTGTGATTTCATTTACTTCTACCTTCCAGGCAGATGCGATACTTTATGGGTTCACGTCAATGCAGCTGAAAGCACAATCGACATTGCAGTTTGCTGGAGTTAGGAAGCTGCAGGGACGATCAAACCCAGAGGCACAAATAATAACCACACAATAAACATTAAAAAGTCTCCTTTCTGAAAGCTTCCGGCTGCTTCCAAAGCGTTTGCTATTCAAATACACGTCTTACCAACGGCCAGCTGAGGCAGCGTGCAGACCAGCTTCTCTGCAATGTGGTTGAGCTCTTTCAGCTTGGCTTGTTGCTTCCTTCCGTCCTCGCTCACTATTTTCTCCTTCAGCCATTGATACGACTGGGAATGAGTGACAGAAGGAGGCAGGGAAAGGAAAGTCATGTGAAAGATGGATTAGACACAGAAACATGAAGCAGAGGCAGATCAAATGGGGCGAGGCAGAGAGGAGAGGAAACAAGGAAACGGGAAAAGATAAGGACGCCGTGGTGCTTGTTGGTGGTCTTTATGCTAAGCTAAGCTAACACACTGCTGGCAACACACGACTAACTGCACATATGCACATACATGAAACGTAATGTTGACATCCAAGGAATCATACTTCCAAAATGTGCAACTATTCCGGTTTTCCTTTATGGACATATCAGGTAGCACTGATTACCTGTGAATTCTGGATACAAAAAAAAGACTTTTGCTGAAGGACATTTCAAGTCGTTGACACTAATTTGACACGTTCGGAAAAGAATAAAATGATGGAGTTAAGTTTGCCCACCTTCATGGAAGCCCTGGAACATTCAGGAATGCCATTTTCATATTTTCCTGAGATGATACCGCACGCCAACGGTGACCACGTCATCGCTCCAACTCCTGTCACCATGGAGACCACGAGGAGTGAAACAGGTGGAGTTTTAGCAAGATGTGTTGAAGGGAGGACGTGTGAAGATAAAAATGTGAGAACATCGCGAGGAAAGAAAGAAATAATTTAAAAAGGAACGAGCAACAGATACCTATAGGGAATATCCATCAGTTTAATTACTTCACTAATTCAACTCCTCTATAAGAAAGTGGAAGAACGTTCCGGCCGACAGGAGGTTTGAGCTAACTTGTCGTGAGGAATTGGTGAAATAATTCTTCACAATAGTACACAACCAAAATAATACTTGCCTATCTTGTGGTAAAGTTCGGGTAATTGCACTTCTACTTTCTCCCTCTGGAAGAGATGATACTCCGCCTGCTCGCACACAGGGGGGATCAGATTAAACTGTCTCGCAACCGAATACGCCTCCTAGAGATAAAAAAAGGAGAGCAAAGAGAAAGGAGGCGAGAATTAATGAATGGTTATCATGACTCACTGCAGCAGCATCCTTTAATGTAATGTAATGCTGCAATAAAACAATTGTTTTTGGGGGGGGCAGGGGGGATAAAAGAGATAATTGTAGGAGCCATAGACGGCGATGGGATGGTGGTAAGAATTCAAATGAAGGGCTCGCATTAGGTCACCGGATCAATATTCCATAACACGACCCTCCGAGGCGTCGTATTCAAATGTCCCTGCGCACCTTCTTATCTCGAGTTCCACGTGTCCTTCAAGAACACTTGTCAGAGACAACACACACACACACACACACGCGCGTAAGGCTTGCTGCTTCTTCAAACACTCTCTCCTCGGTATCCTGCTGTGAAACATGTCACGACGAGAGGCCAGTAGAAGAGGGAGGAATCTATTTAGCGGCGGTGCCATCACTCAACGTACAAATTACACGTTGCCCGTCGGCGCAACGACCCCATGACATTCCCCTCGAGGCTGCGTGTGAGTGTGTACTTTAAACCCGCCACGGCGCGCACACGAGAAGATGTGTTTACCGCCCCCCCTTCATTATCGATGCTATAAATTACACAGCTTTCCTCTGGGCTTGTGTTCTGCAAAGCTGTCTGCTCCTTTTCACCGTGATCACAGAAGAGACGAGAGTGTCGACACACTCAGAGGGGAAGCAGAGAGACACACAAGAGAGGAGACAACTGGTGTCGGGTCCTTGAATGTCAGTTTAGACGTGCTTATTTCAGTAAATCTTTGTTTTGGCTTTAGGTGCGAACAAAGATGCAAAAGCAACGTGTCCTAAGTGGTCCAAGATAACGAGCCGCTAAGAATCGGTGCTAATGATGATGAGACTTCAACATGAAAAGGTTTCAATCAGAGAAAAGTGTCCATCTTCTGTTCCAATCAGTAGCATATGAGACATAATCTCCCTCGGCAACATGAAACTGAACCATTTTATCCATAATTTATTCTGACTAACTGACTGGGGTTAAAAACGCAGTATAGTAACCAAAAAATGAACACTGGAGTATGTTAATATGCACTTTATATGTTGTTTAGACACCCTGCTTACTTAACTTTATAAAACAGTTGCCATGACGAACATCGCTTACCATGATCTCCATCGCCGTCCATCGAGACGTCCCCCAGTACATCGCCATTCCTTGGTTGATCACATAAGTCATGGCCCGAACAATCTCTGCAGGGACGGACACACAAACACAAAGCGAACAGTTCGTTTACTGAAACCAGCCAGCGAGATGCCCCCACAGGCCGACCACTTGATCTAAAAGTGATCACAATATGTTCAAAATGAGAAGCAAAATCCTTCAGACCATTTCCTTCACATCTGACGTCACCCACAAAGCACGAATCTCACTGAAAGAGAAAGTGATTGAACAATTGTCTTTTGTTTGTTTGCTTGCTTGCTTTTCTGCCAAAGACGATGATGAAGAACATGAGATGCAATCATGAGAAAGGGAGAGAAAGAGAAATGGATGAAACCCAGAAAACAGTCCTAAAATGAGGTGATTTTCCATCGGAAAAGACAAGAAAACAAGAAAGAACTATATTTTTTCCAAAAGTCTCAGAGGCCGGCCGCTTCTTTGAGCCCCGCTTACCTGCTGACGGCTCATCAGCCATCCAAAACATCTCGGGGGGGCAAACTACGGCAACCTACAAGCTCACGTGCTGAAGCCCCTCTCGTCCTGCGCCATCTGCCGCTCTTTTAATGACGCAATTAGCTCCAACGCGGCTGACTGTGCGAGGCAACAGCAGTCGGGGACAACTCAGACAACTCAAATTAGGCCCGTCATTAATTTCAGCATCGCTCTGCGGTCACTCCGATTATCCCGCAACCCTTGACTGTGGCGCGTTTCACTCTGCCCAACCGGCTCTCGGTAAAATGACACCGATGTCGAAAAAAATCAATCAAAAAGAATGTGGTCAGAAACACAGAGATAGATCTGTAAAAAAATAACAATCAAGAAGATAGAGACATTTCTTTAGAGAAAGTTTCCTTCTAGTTTTGCCGATGATAATGAGCAGACACAGAGGCCTTATAAGGAAGGTAAAGAAAATGTCTCTTTTTACTCCTTCCTTCCTCTGCACCAGCTCCTGCAACATGCTGTGACTGTGCACCCAGCGCCCACGTTCAAACACTACGTGCATCGGGTTCCGTCCAATACAAAAAGGGAGAGAAGAAGATGGAGAGTAAAACAAATTCAGTGGAGGAAGAGAGATCGATCGAGTGGTTGAAGGAATACATTTGAAATGAACTGTGAGTGCAGATGGTGGAGAAGAGTAAGCAGTGTTTGCAGCACAGTTTAAATATATTAAGAATAACATTAAGCTATTTCTTATACTTATTATTACAATTTATACCTTAACCAAGCAATTGCTTGCTTGAAAACAGTAATTTTGAAAAAAGTCCCAATTGTTAATTTGTCTTTTATGTGCATTGTTAATAGCATATCCTTCTACAATTAGGGGAATCTTTGGCCATTTGGCTTATATTATTTCTCATTGTGGGTCTAAATAATTAAGATCATCTAGACAGCTTAAATACAAACATTTGAAAAGCCCCACTGAAGAGCAGCTGCAGTTCTAAGAAAAGAAAAGCAAAAGTAAATAACTAATGGTAAATAACTAATCTAAATTCCTTGTTGATTAGTTTTAGCACAAATTAATAAGTGCTGAGGGAAACCAACAGCTAATGGGCTTTACATGTAGAATACAAATATGTAATTCATTACTTATGACTAATGAGGAGCCCGTGCTCTGCTAATACGCATGCCAATAAACAACGTCTACCTCCAGCCCCCCTGAGGGGCACTAAACGTCCCCTGAAACACGACTCACCCTCCATGGGAGTGTTGCTGTCGGGGCGGTTGGCAAAAACTACATCCACATACTCCAACTGCATCCTTTGTAAAGAGCCCTTTAGACCTGAGACACAGAGAGACACACTGAGAGACAAGCATGTGCAGTGGAGAGGAACGTGTCTTTAAGGTTTGTCTTAAGTCTAGCGTTTTAATCTAGTGTGTGTGTGTGTGTGTGTGTGTGTGTGTGTGTGTGTGTGTGTGTGTGTGTACCTTCAATAATGTGTTTCCTGGACAGTCCTCGCTCTGTCTCTGCTCTGATGGGACAAACACAAACCAATCAATACGCTTCACTTTGTGTGACTGAACTGTAACTCAACTTTCAGTCATTAATTCCCTTTGGGCCATTGTTGCCTTTCGTAACAACCGACCGTACAGCATCAGCGGTCGTATGAAAGACCTCATTCTTGGGTTTTAATGCCGACTCTGCGGCATCAAATAACTAAAGTATTACCCGTGGTGCTTAATCCACCGTTGAATATCAGTCCTCACGCTTTCCAAGCCGAGTGAAAGTCCTTTTAAATCACTCTGTGGCCCTCGGCCAGGGGCCATGACATGAGAAAGTTTGCATCAGGATGTTTTATGTAAACGGGTCAGTGCGCTTTCAACTGTTCGCCACCGTTATGCAACCAAACTCTGGGAGGTGAAGGACGGAAGCGTCCTCGCAGAGATGTGGGAAGGCTCAGGAGAAACTTCACCTCGTTCCCCTGACTCAGCAAAGGAGTCCAACGGTTATTGTAATGTAATGTGGTTATTCTATATGGTCACTGTTTTTGGTGGGAAGACGCTCAGGTTGTTACAGAGAAAAACAATGTTTGAAAGGCTAAACTATTATTGTCATGGCACAACGAATATTATAAGAGATATATATCAAAATAAAATTGATTTCAAAACTTTTTAGTGATTTAATTATTTATTGCTTCCGGAAAAATAAGTACCCCTTCTGTTGTGTACGGCGATCAGAACTGTGTCCATAGCAACATGCTGCTTTCCATAGCAACAATGTGCGACCCTTGAGTACCCTGTACGACCAATAAGTGTATTCAACAAAGCCACGTGTTAAATAGACGCTATTTACGTCACGTATCAGTATATACGTGGATGATTATCGATAGATTTAACAACCAATGGAATTCAGGTCCACTTCTTGTTTTACTCGCTGACATTCTCTATAATCGTGAATGTGAACATGAGCCTGTCTGTGTGTGCTGACTGCTGGAAGGAATTCTCTTTATGTGATGTTCTCTGCTCAGACTTTGATCCCAACGAGACTTTCAAAAGAAATAAAACTCAACAGCACGCAATCTGCCTTCATGCATGAAAATCAGAATTTCTTACTTACTTTCCTCCCCAGTAGAGTTTAGTTGTAATGACAATACTGGACCGCCTGAGAAATAGAGGTGAAAATCAGCAACAGAATGAGTAGATTATTAAATGAATAGAAAGTAAATCATCATTCATTTAGTGTTTAAGTCCTCACTCATGACGACACTCAAGAGACTAAAATTACGCAGATTTAGGCCTTTTCTCTGCTAATTGCACTGCAAATTAAACCATGTCCGGGCTACAAGACACTGTCTACAATATTCATGCGTGGTTTGTCCCGTCTTCATAGATTATTATTATACTATCTTTATAGATAGTGTTTTGCTAAGCTGCACAACAATGATTGACAACACGAAGATCAGATTCTCAGTTTTTCTCTGTTCCCCACAGAAGAAGAGGGAATATTTGAGATTTGAGGAAACTGAAAACGCCTTCAGGCTTTCATACAGTGTCGTGCTGCTGTGAAGGGAAAGAACGTGTGTGTGTTTGTGTGTCTCCGTGTGTGTGCAGAAATACACGGAACAAATGGAAAAATACAAAACCTCTAACTCCCATCGTGTTTTCCCACATGTGCCCCCTCACACACTTCTCTGCTGCCTATTGCAACCTGAACACACGTTGCCATTTCTCACATAAAAGTGATAAGGCTCCATCGCACACACGTATGTCACCATTACCTCCAGCATTTCTTCTTGATAATGTTTCCTAGAATGACTTCGGCCCTGGAAGGCAACATAGATGAGGGCGGGTTAATAAATTGCAGTTTAAATAAATTAAACATTTGCTCCACAATTGCAACCCTGTTATTTATTGTCATCAAACTAATCTCCCCCCTGCATTGAAAAGATGGCAAACGCGTGTGTCCATGAATAGTTAAATAAATAAATGGTACATTGAAAAACACACTAAAAACATTTTACAATAGTGTTATTATCACACATTATTTCATGATGTTTTGGCTGTAACAGAAACATTTCTGCAATTCGAATATGTATTGTCAGGGGGACTTTCTGTAATATGAATTAGGTCAATTCTGCGACAATTGTGAAAACCTGTTAAAACTAGGATATGCTATAAAAGGTGCGGGATTTTCGTTATGTTTGCGTTGGACTCAAACATCAGCCTGTAAAATAATAAATAATAGATATCCGGTTAGACTAATTAGCTCCCATTTTAAGCCTCTTAATCGCAGAACATTCATTTAATCCTAAAGATTAAGACGCTGCATGAATTCTTCCACAGGCACGAAAAAACATTCCGATCAATAAAACAAATGAATCCAACCTCACAATAACAGCAGTTGGTCCAAGTGAATGAACACAGTCTGTAACACAGAGCTGGACACCTACCTGCCGCCTGCGTAGACCTCAGCTGTGTCAAACAGGTTGACTCCATTCTCATAGGCAATAGTCATTAGCTGCTCTGCAACCTGGCGAGAGGTCAGAACACAGCAAACAGAAATGTCAGTGCTTTAGGACATCTGCCAAATCAATAATCCATGGCAGAGCTGTCGCATATAAATATCTCAATACAAACGTTTGTTTCCACAGCAGTGATAAATGTTATGGATGGAGTCATCTATGGCCACTACTTATTTACATTATCTTTTATTTTAATGAGTGCTATAACTAATGTGTCATCAAACTACATTGTAAGAATGTTTTCAAAACAATTTCACGCCTCCCTCCTCTCAATGACGGCCGACTGTGAGCGCGGATGTGCAGAAAGGCTGCGACAGCCGGTATTACACCGGCACATTGCACGAAGCCCTTCTGTTGGCTCATGAAATGCGACATGGACAGCGGTGCAGCAGTCAATGACCAAGATGGTGAGTTTAATACAGAGGTTTAATGGGAGTTGCCTATGCTGCAAAGGACGTGTCAGACAGTAAAGGCTGCAGAGCGCGCAGTGCTGCATGTCCCACGCTGCAGCAGCACGCCCGAGCAGCAGGTTTGTGTGTCGAGTGCAGACTTCTTACAGTACAGAGGCAGTTTCTGTTGGACCCTGGTGTCAAGTCTTTACTCTTCAGTTACGTTGTTTGTGCTATTCATGGCTTTGTTCGTGGCATATGTGCAGATATATTTAGCATATTCCAGTAGACTTAATGACCATGAATCAGAACGAGATCCCATTTCCCTGTTGTGCGTTTTATAACACGATGATGTGAAGTGAATCTTGCCGTCGTCTCCCTGTGGAGTTGTGTGTGTGTGCATGAGTTGAGTTCCCAAACGTGTGCTGACAGAAGTGTGTGTTTGTGTTTACACGTGTGCATAAAATCTGTCTTTCTGCCGTTGTTTATGAGTCTGCATCAAGTTTGTGTGAGTGTATGTTGCTGTTTCAGTGGTGGCACACAGCGTGGCTGTTGTTTCTAGAGTTAGGTCGAGTCTTTACTGAGAATCTGTCTCGAGTCACCAGTCCAAGCTCATGTGTGATGAATAATACTGCAATAAATCCAGACTGTGCTATTGGAATTTGGTTACAATTAAACAACAGTAGAAGAAACGGTTCAATCCAATAAACAAAAAAGAAAAAATGTGACCTAAAATGTCTCCAGTATATTGTCATCATTAGCAGATGATTATCCACAGCGTCCAGAGACAGTCGAACAGGCAGCGAGGCAGAAAAGTAAAGAAAGGAGCAGAACGAACAGCCAGAGCTCGATGATGCGCCGGTTCAAGAAAGTCGGGGTCAGTTAAGGACAGAAAGACTTGAACAGAAGATAACTGGACTCTCTGCTGAGTGCACATCCAGGAAACTCTCTCTTTCACAACGTTGCAATGGAGGAAGATTTTTAATAAATGTGACGGTGGGTCGGGTTAAGAGGGTTTATTTTTTCCAGAGGTAAGAAAAACAGATGAAGAAGAAAAAATTGGAAGAAAATAGAAAAAGAGACGTGTGTAATAAATCCTTTGCCGGTGAGGTTGGATAAGGGGAGGAACATGCTGAGGACATCTTTATGAAGACAGACAACAAGAACCAGACGAGCTGAAAGTCACACAGAAAGCCGAGGCGACACAGGCACATTTATTACGGTAATTGGCCTCTGCTGATTGCTCGTTGACAACGAGGCTGAAGGTCAATCAGGGCCTCAAGTAACATTTACAAGGTCCGGATGCTCGTGTTCATCGCGCAGCATTGCTGCTTACACAGATTTCTAACTTCTGTCTGATTTGGACAAACTGAATGTGCGATGGCCTTCAAATGGTTCGGTATTTGTTGTTGCAGGAAGACAACACGTCTCTAACGGACAAACAAACTTCCGCCCTCACCTTCAGAACAACACTGAGTCATGATGAGTTTCAGAAATACACGGCCGGGCTTCCGGCTGCTGTTTGTTTTATTCTGGGGCACAAAAGGTTTGGTTTCCATACATAGAACAGTGGTGAGTGAGAAAAAATATACTTTTCATCTCTCACAACCCCAAAGTCCGGGTCGCGGCAGCCTCCCCCACACTGCCCACGCAGCCTGGAGATGATTGTATTGCTGCACTGCCTCCTCCCCTCCGCGCCCCACATCAAAGTTGAGATCCACAAAACACACTTTCTTTAATTCACTTCATGACTTATGGATCCACTTTCGGCCTTCTTTGAATGCCCACCATCACGCCTGTGAGCGCCGTGTCTGGGAACGTGTTGCTGCCCAGACGGGCGAGACGAACTTAGCAGCACTTTGATGAGCCATACTAGTAAATATACACCTCTCCATAAGCTTGTTTTAAGGAAGAGAGCGTCCTCTGGGTCTGCGCGACACGCATTAAGTATGTGCTTGCGGGTGATTAGCTTAGCGTAGCATCAACGCGGAGCGAGGTAGGGAGGAAACGGCACTTCTAATGCTTACCAAAGGCCCTTCACAGGTGTAATCAATGGTATCAAGTATGACTGTGTTCGATCCACGTGGGTCAGGGTTCTGGTACTGTGCATGCTGGCTCGCCACAATGACGCTGACACACTTTGTAGAATGGGGCCATATTTCAGTGGAGCAATGACAGCTGTGTTTACGCTGGCATGACATGTCAAAAAGGCTGCTGTCTGCCGGCCTCATCGCCTGCAATCGACTGCGTGTCTTTCTGGCTTCACAGGGACATTAATTCAGCTCAGCGCCGGGCATTTTTCAACCGTGACTCTATTGAACCAGTTCACTTCTGAAATTGTTCCATCGTTGGCCGAGGGCGCTGCAGATTGCTGCCGCTGTGTTGACTGCAAGGCGGGTTTGGAATGTTATCTAAAAAAATAGCAGACATTTTCCTGCGTCCTCTGGGTCACATGACATCAGGTGTCCATGTTTATGTGCATAATACGACAAACCCTATTTATTACATTACTGCAAGTAGGGTAAAACAAATCCATCAATCCATAAGCGAGAGTCCATTGGGAGTAAATAAATAAGCTCAATGAAGGAAAACAATCATACCTCGTCTGTTATCTGTCCCCCAAACGTCACCCATGTACCTGAATGGAAGAGAAAGACATTTCAACATTAGAAAACATTCATGTGTGTGTGTGTGTGTGTTTGACATCCTGACGGTCAAAGAATAACAAAGTGTGTCCAAACCTTTGACTGGGACTGTATGTCAATGTCCTGTGTAAACCTCCTGCATGTCTATCTTGTGTCCATAATTGTACTATATATATATATAAAACTTCTTCCACATATCAATATTTCATGGTCTATTAGCCGTATGTCATTTGACTAATTAATGAGATCTATTTATTTGTTAATTCCCTTCTGCCATGATACCGTTAACTCCCCATTCAATTCTTCTCACTCACTAAAAATTTCACACCAAATGAACAGACAGTCCATCCTCTGACACTGTTGATCTCCTCGGCTCGAATGTCAGAAAAGGATCGATGTCCCTCAGAGATCGGCGACAATGAAGCCTCATTCAACCATCTCCTCCTTTCAACAGACGTCCTGGTATAATGGAGCTCATTGAACCGTGCATTGCAATACCATCAACTCCACTGAGGTTTAACTTCCAGAAGGCACACTACGGATAAATTGGATCTATTGGTGCACAATGATATCATCTCATCTCAGCGGGGGGCAGGAAGCTGCTGTTCTCCACACGCAGCACCAGCGGCTTCGTAATCGGAGTGGTTTGAAAATATTAATAATGGTGATCTCCGTTGAGACAAGTGGGCTTTTTTTGACATTGTTAACAGCAGCAACCATGGCAATCTCATTCAGCCTCAATTGCACCTCTTCTACAGTCATTAATAATCACCTTATTACATGCATGACTTCTTTTATTATACAAATATGCGTGCAAAGTGTGTGTTTCCCTATTTGGGCACATGAACCTCCAGTACAGTGAGTCTGAAGTCGAGGCTAAACAGTCCAGTAGCAGTTAAGACCCTGAATGTGACAAACAGTCCTTTTTCGCTCTTTCAGGGGAGCTGCTAATGGAAAGTGTCTGAAGTGGTACTTCTGTTGCTATGCGACAATAGAAAACAACATTGCAGGGCTTCGTGCTGAAGCTGAAGTGTGTAATAGTCAAACTCAAGCTACTGACAAAGGAACTGATGAGGTCGTAACGTTCACATAAATGGTACAATCAGGAGGTTGTTTGACTTGATTTCAATTTCAAATCACTTCACTGCTCCCAATTTTTTTCCTCTCAGCGAAGGTTTTTCTACTTAACTGACCTCTTTTCAGCAATTTTCCGCTAATCATCCTGCAGATGGAAAACCCGAATCATATTATTTAGCCAATCATATTTTTTTTAGATTCATTTTCTGTGTTATACTGTGTTGTATCTGCGATGTGCTTTGTCATCCAGAAACACATCAACATCTCATAGGGGACACGTCCCTTCCCGTTTGTCAACAGGCCCTTTATGTATTTGTAGAGAATAGAGACAAAAACACAAAAGAAAGCACACGCACGCCTCTCCTCTGCACCTATCTTCAGTTGTGTTTCTTCAAGTTTGTTGAGTATTCTACTTGAATTCCATTTTAAATTCCTTCGTCCATTCTGTTGTATCTACATCTGTTTCTGTCTTGTCTGCTCCTTCAGCAGCGGCTTTCGCAGGGTTCACAAAACAACAAAAACCCGTTATTATGTAGCGTAGCACACAGATAAAATGTTTCTGGGGTAGTAGAAGAAAGGCTTTTGAAAAGAGCATCGCAAAGTTAACAAATGATTAAAAAGGAATCAACTTCTTTCTGACAAAGTGACGACAGAGATAAAAGGCTTCAGTGTTTGTTTTGCGAGGCTTTTGCATTTAGTTGCATCATGTTTTCAGGTTGTTGTTTTCACGTTTGCACACTGATCAACCACAGCCGGACTGATCCAATACGATGCTTTTTGTGATTTCAACCATCAGAGCCAAACTCTCACTCTGCTGCATGTTTTGAGACAACTTTCTATTTCGGGTGCAAACTGGGAGGAGGGATCAAGGTGATCGTTGCAATCCACTTCGATTTTTTACTGTATTGAGGGAGGAGTGGACATTAGCTTATGATCAAAGGTTGTCTGCTGGCCTCGGTGCCGCGAGGAGATGTAATGTCCTTAGAATGCTGAGCCAAGTGGAAAAAGATAAGAGGAAAAGCCCGTGCTGTACAGTGGAGATATTCTACATGCCGCTCTGCAGACCTGTAGTGAAAACATGCAATCAATAGCACCACAACAGTGCAGCAAGCACGCCGGGGCGTGTGTGAGGAAAATAAGTTATGGGTCACGCAGAATTGCTTATGGTTCAGATCCTTCTATTCGAGAGTTTGAAACTGTGGAAAGTTATTAAATTAAACTCTTCTCAAAGACAAAACTCCCTTTTTTTTATTGCTAGTGGAGTGCAAATAGCTAATGATAATGAATTGACCTACATGTATGTACAGTATTTATTGATTTCTGAAAAAGAGCTGCTGCCAGAAAAAAAAATGGAGCAGCACATATTCTCTGCAGTACTATTATTAAAGGTTACTGCATAGCAAATACAAACAGTTATTTGACATTCCTATACTTGAAAGTGATACTAAGAGTGAACGTGAGAAAGGAAAGAAGGCGTGTATTTCTCTTTGTTTCATTTCCGTTATGCTTAAATGTCCCATTGTTTACGTCCCTCTCCTTGTTCTGACATTAGAGGAAGGTGTTGATGAAGAGTTTAGATACTGAGGGAGGATCAGAGAGGCTGAGAGGGAGAGAGAGACTTCAGTATAGAGAGAGAGAGAGAGAGAGCCGGAGCTGAAGAGGTGGAGGCGGTCAGGATGGACACAAAGTTCCCGAGGCACGAGTCGCATATTTCTTTCTTCTCAAAATGTGTTTTTGTGTAGAGATGTCTCCCTCCTCCCTCCCTCCCTCCTGCACTCTGCCCCTAATGACAGTGACACTTCTCCATCTGTTCAGATCCTCTCCTACGTCAGCACACAACAAACGAGCCACACACAAAAAGTCAATACGAGTTATAAACATGTGAGAATGGCGAGATGTTGATTGACCCAAATATGGAATTAGTGTAACCAGAAACAGAACAACATACGAACATGACGATTTGCAGAACTTACATACGCAGCTTTAATTTAAGGTCAGTTTCACCACCAGTGCCTTGCTTGAGAGCACGCTTAAGGTCTGCATGTTAAACACTGTAGCAATAAATGACTTTCGTCTGAGCAACAAAGTGCAGCAGATGTGAGCCGGTCACTCATATCGAGGTCACTGCTCCCGTATTGTTGCATAACGTTTGGGTATTCTGTCTAAAAGGCATTCTGGCTTCAGGCTTAGTTTCAAAGCCTTAAAAGCAGCCTTGGGTCTCAAGTCACATTACGGCTGTAACAAAGACACCAAAGTACTCCAAGTTATATATTTAGGGTTGGCCGAAAAATTAAGTCGGTTTCAACCAAATGTTCTGGAACAGCGTCGTCCCTTGTATGAAGTGAAAAATAAGACGTTGGAATTAGAAACAGCGAGCAATGTTGTTGAAAAGGTGTCTTTTTAATATTACGCAATCAGTAAATGAGGTGAATACAGTGAGACGTGTTTCCCTCGGGACATCGTGGTGTACAAGTGCCTCATTTTTAATGATACCATTGTGGGAGTATGAGCACATATGCCACACACACAAACACACACACACATACACACACATCCTCATCGATTTCGGCACCGCTCCTTAAGTGAAACACCGTTTAGCATCCTGCTCTTTGCCCTCTCTCCTCCTCCTCCTCCTCCTCCTCCTCCTCCTCCTCTCCCCTGCCAGCGTTACGTTACCCTGGGCGCAGCATGTGGCGGGCGGCTGGCATTATGCTGACCTTCTCCGCAGCGGGAAAGCGCCGCCATATTGAGTCCGACCTCTCAGTCTACCGGGAGCCACCTGGGGCAGCGGCGCTGGGATCCGGCCCTGAGACGGAGAGACGTCGCAAAAAAACAGGAGCTCTCCATGGAACCGGAAAGCTTCCCTCCGAGGGATCTGCCACCGACGTCTCAATGTTCAAATTCACGAGATCATTTCATTAATTAGTTCATTGTTTTTTTCCCTGAAAGGTCCCGGGTGAAAATGAATCTCAGCATCAACTCGACTATACAGTGCTGACATGAGCGACACCACACAAAAAGGAGAAAAGTTTTTGGCTCAGTACATCTGCTTGTGTGAAAATATCAAGCAGGCTGAATGTTTTCTTATAAAGTTACCCGTTAAAAGTGGTTGATCACTTCCACATAATTAGGAGACATATATGTAAATACTCTGCCTTGAATAATAATGTGTGCCGGCAATAGTGTCAATCAAGCAGTTAGAGATTTCTAAAAATGACATCTACTCTTTCTTCCTCATTGAAAAAGAAGACATGAACTTTCCCGCTACGATGCACAGGGAAGGTCAAACATCAGCAGGAAAAGCCCGTCTATGAGCGGAGGGAATATCAGGTCGGACCGCTTAAAGTCAAATAAAATGAAATAAACCACCAGACTTTTTGGTGATATTTAATGTTAAGCTCACACACACACAAAGCATTGCAGAGCTAAAACAGCAGGTATCTTGTGCCAAATGTTCCCAAATGTGCTGCATCGGCTATGAAACCCGGCATTTACTTTAATCTTTCTGTCCTCTCAGCCTTGATGTGTGTGTGTCTCACGTTGTGGTGAAGCATTAACTTGTGACCTTATCAATCGTTTCTTACTCAATAAGCTTTGTGAGGCATCCGACATCTACCTTGTTACCACAGCAACCGATGCATAAAGGTTAGCCGCGGGTGTCTGGACACAAAAATCCTTCCTGATCGCTTCAACAGTGCAGACAGTCTGTGTTACATCTTCTTTTCTAAACAATTGAAGTGATGCGGAGACGCACAGGTGTTACTGAAAAGACCGGCGGCTGAAGCTGGAGAACGGGAGGGCTGAGAATGAATCAGGCTGAAGCGGGAGAACGGGAGGGCTGAGAATGAATCAGGCTGAAGCTGGAGAACGGGAGGGCTGAGAATGAATCAGGCTGAAGCTGGAGAACGGGAGGGCTGAGAATGAATCAGGCTGAAGCTGGAGAACGGGAGAGCTGAGAATGAATCAGGGTGAAGCGGGATTAGAGAAAGCAAGAAACATGAACATCTTCTTTGACAGGGAATCACTTCGCCCGTCTCTTCTGCCGCGGCCGACTAACAGCCTTAAAATGTGACTGAAGCAGGGTCTGTTTTATCAGAAGTGTTATCTTGCAGATGCCACAGGTACTCAAGTACTTAGAGTTTCCCTCTTCATCGCTCGGGATTGTACTCAGGATTTTAAAAACTTGGGTTAATTCAAAGAACCTTCCCTTATGAAAGAGAAAAAACTGTGTGTGTACAAATAATACATAAATCTGGTTAATACTCAGATGGTCAAAACACCTTTAGGTACCTTAAAAAGATTTTTAGAAAATGGATCAATTAATGAAATGTGAAATCTCATTGGCTATATTCCCACATTACTACGATACTAAATGATTATGTAAACCATCAGTCTTCAACAAGTAACTTTCTTTCACCAGATTTGGTTTCTGTTTCCCGAGGAGCGAATTAAAACATCTTTTTAAAGAAACCATAAAACAAACTAAGATCCTGCACATTGTTCAATCTTTTATAACCTTGTTGGCCAAAATGAAATGAATGTTTTTATCAGCGTTTATCATCTTCCAACTGTTCCAACTCTCAATTAGTAAACACACACACACACACACACACACACACACACAGTGCTCTCCATGGTGACAGGTGCTGTGTGTGTGTGTGTGTGCTGTCTAGTACCCACTCTCATGCTGAGTAAGTTTGACTTATACTGTATGAGAAGCGAACAATTCTGTAAACACATTTTCAAATAATAACCTAATTACACTACAACCAGAGAGTAAGCTGACATGACGTGTTCAAGTTCAGTTCGCAGACACACAATCAAAATCCAAAAGTGTCTTTCTTCACAAAGTGTGTAAATGTGAAAGCAAAACTGAACCATTGGATCTTTTTTTAATTTCGTATCGCGTGTTTAGCCGTCGGTGTACTGAGAAAGGGAGAAGTGCATTATGGGTAGTGAAGCTGAAAGTCTACTCACCGAGTCCTAAGCAAGAAACTCTGAGTCCTGACTTCCCAAGGTTCCTGCGGAAAGAGAACATAAAAGGAATGACACACAACCAACACATGTATTAAACAAAACAAGTTCAACCGAACAGAAGAAGTCGGCAGAATAAACCAGAATAAGCACCAGCAAGGTATCCAACCCTATCATCTTAAAATATATGTTTTATTGGACATTTCAGTACATCTTAGATGAAACGTTGTGTATGTATTTCAAGAGTCTGACACTCAAGTGGATAACGATTTCTGTCTTCCAAGAGGATGGTTGTTGCTTTTCTTCAAACAACCACTCGACAGCTCTTTGTATTTCTCCACAACAGGAAATTGAATTTCACTTTCGCAGACCTTGGGGTGGACGTGCCGACACAATATCCTATCGACCAACAGGTGTGTGTGTGTGTGTGTGTGTGGAGACGACCTGGTCATCGGTCCTTTATACTCTCCAGTCAGAACAAACAATCCAATATCAGAATGACGGAGGACGAGAGGAAGAGACACTGATGAAGGAACATAAACACTGATAACACTGATTTGATATCAGCACACGCGATAGTGACAAACGTCAATGAAAGTCCCGAAAGGTTTACAGCAGGATGGAGGTGATGTATCTTTGTGTGTGTATGTATGTGTACAACACATTGAATGCATCTTATTAGCTTGCCAGAAGCCTATATTGTCATTGCACAAACGCATTTACAAGTACTTCGCTTATCCAGCCTTCAGTCCACTGCAAGCGCTTTAATACAAACTACACGTAATCCAGCCATTCACCTGCATTCATAATAAATGGTTGCCCCATTTAAAGTGCAAAGCATCCATACCCATCATACACAGAAGCAATATGGAGTTAAGCGTCTTGTCTTGTCTATATATATACATATATGTAAATATATATATATATACATTTAAAAATTAGCTGGGAGATGCCTGATGCCTGTCCAGTCAGGCACGAGGACACGAGGGAGTTATTGTCCTGTCATGTCAATTTCCTGTGAGAGTCTAACGACTAAACCGATGCTATAGGACACACAGAGACACACACACACACACTGACACACACAGACTTCTGAGCTTCGAGCAGGTGCAAAGGTAAAACCACTGCTCTCGTTAATCCACTTGTTGACAGCACAGGTGGCCCAGGTCAGATTATGCTTAAGTCGGCATTTTCTATGTTGATAATGAATCATATTTAGAGAGGAATCTTAAAAATCTAAATCCCCTTTATCATTTTCATGTAGAATATCTCATCTACAAAAAAAGCCTATTTGAACCATATTTAGAGAGGAAACTTTGATGTTTCATACTGTGTAAAACCTGGATAAAGCGAGTCATGTATTTATGCCACAGGTTTGTTAAGCAGAACACACACAATCTGGAGAGGGATGGCAAATCACTGCAAGCCAATGGAAATGCTGTCAATGGCTGAATTAAAAACATGCATCTGATGTACAGGCTCATTTTTGTGCACTGATTGACGGGGACATTATTCACGGCTGTCAGCAATCTGTCATCTTTGCTCATCTTTCAAAACTGCTTCAGTGACGCATTGCTGACATGTCACCTCTACATCCTACAATATCCGAATGGTTAATTGGGCATAAAAATGGAGACACCCTTAGTAAATCGATTCTTGGTGAGGCATTAGATCCTCAGTGACCTACAAAGTCTGCACCAAGGACACTGAACACTTTACACAAGGTGCTCTTGAACAACAAGTCGCATCAAATTCATCTTTAAACTTTTAGCATGACTAAAGGTTTTGAAATGTTGCAGTAAAGTTGCTTTTGTTGCACCGAAAATGGTTGTCATTTCTTGGCCTGCCAACAGGCAATCCTTTGCGTGTAGATCAGGCGGACTAGATGCGCTGAGTCAGTCGTTGGATCCCCTGCAGGCGATTAATGATGATGTCGCTGCTGCCCGGCCGCAACCATAAATGATGACGATGCAGGGGAACTCTTTTTCAGGCCCGAAGAGAAAAACTTAGGTAGGAGCCAGAGCAGAGCAGACGGATGACCCGTCAAAGCAAAACGGCACTTTGAGATGAATAATAAGGCAACCTCAACCCTTGCACTTTTATTTGCAAATGGAGTAATGGTATTTTATGTAGCTACTGGACATTTGTAACGGATTTCACAATCATATGGTGAAGCCAGCCAGTAGGGAAGAAGTAGCCATGTAAGGTGTACTGTTTTGCTTATAGGAGCCTAAATCTGGTTCCTCTATCAGATCCACCTCTGATCTTCTCAGCCAATCCTCTCTCGACCGCCATTTTGGCTCCACCCATTTTGGTTTTTAAGTGGCTGAGAGAGCTGTCGCTCTTTACCGCGTGGTGTAAGTCGGATAGAACGTTATCAGACGATCAAATAAAAAGGTGGTTCAACCGTGCAGGCCTGCAGAAAAGCCTGTCCTAGAGTAGTTTGTCACTCTATCAACGTGAAAGGTTCCCTGATTACTGTCCACACACTGGGCCTTCATGTGGGTGTGTAGTGTCTCCATGTTTTATAGGACTTTTAGGGTTGTTGGTGAATTTATTTCAGGCAATTCTCAAAATTCAAAGTTGTTTTTTTGTTTTATATTTATTTATTTCTTCACCAGTAATATATAGACAGATTTTTACACATCAGAACACTCACAGGGGTTCCCCTTTATCCTGACCGATGAAAGACTGTCCTGGTAGACGCTGTAGTTACAGTGAGTTATTACACTTTTCCTCATCGGTATGCAACTTTGAGAGCGGAGGCCAAAGAAAACAGATAAAAGGAATAACAGGTTGAATAACAATTAATATCTACAGCTACAACTATACCTAACTGATTGGAGCTTTTTTAATCTCTACTGCTGTATTGTCCTTTTGCTCCCACCATTGTTTAGACAAAATTTAGACAAAATTTAAAATAATCGAATGAAGTTGCAAGCTGGGCATAAATGAGTTGATGATTGTGGAAAGCGCTTCTGAGGCTGAAGTGAAAATGAAAAAAGGTTGGTTGGCCCCGGATATTGCTGAGCCTCAAAAACGCGCCCCTTATTCAGCTTTCACAGCCATAGATTTTGAGATGAATGAAAGAACGTCCATGAAGAGGACAATATATGAGGAAGAGGCATGATGCAGAAAAGAGGGAAAGGAGATTTCCCCACTTGGGAGATGGAGTCAGAAATTGATCGTCTCCCTCATTTAAAACCCCTTTCAAATGACTCTTCATAGATATGCAAACGCTTACAGCCACACACATAAATAACCAAAGAACCACCACTAAACACATACACACACACACACACACATACTAACAAGGCCGTCCTCACCCATCAAATATTTATTGAAATATGAACCCCACCCCCCCGTAGCGGCTTTCCAAACAGATGAACCACAACAAGCCTTCTCTGTCAATGAGTCCATTTGTCTCCACTTGAACATGTCTTCATTAGCCTGATGATGGACACTAATGACTTTCTCTAATAATCCCCTACTTCTATCAGATACCATGGCGATATTATCCTCTCCTGCACGCCAACATTCATCCCCACACATCGAATTTAAAGTTAGGACAACAAAAAAAGATGTTTCTCTTGTTAATTAAGGCACTTTAAAAACTGTGGCCAGTTCGACTAAAACTAATGAATTTCAATATATAATAGCAATTATTGTTCAGCTGTTTCAGTTTGTATTTCCCTTACCATTATGTAATAGTAATTCCAAACAAAAGCACAACTTTCCTGCTTGGCCACCCCATATACGCAGTATATAGTCAATATTCGGCCCGTTTTATATATGGTTTATATATAAACTTTTCCAGTATTCCTGAAAAAGTGCAATTAAAACGTTTTGCCCGACCACTACCCCCCCCCGCCACTCTTTTATGGATTCGGTTTTACTTTTGTGACCAATTTGAAAATAAAATCTGAATTTCTGGTTATGAGCCACGAGAGACGGTCTGGCACACTTCTCCATCGAGTGTAAGGCGGTCAGTGTGTGTGTGTGTGTGTGTGTGTGTGTGTGTCAGAGAGTCAATGAGACGGGGGGGATGGGGGTGTAAAGCATGAACGCCACCTGAGCTCCACACAAAGTAGGTTACGATGTTGCAGTAATCACTCAGCTTGTCTGTGTTGGCACTTCACACTTCATGGAGACAACAATAGTTACCCGGCTGAGCCTGAGCGTGATGTTCACGCTGCATTGATTGGTTTTAGCTACAGAAACAACCGATAACACAAAACACATAAAAAGCATATACTGATATTGCAGCAATCGTGTGTGCGTCGCTCACTTCCTCTCACAGACCAACACAACAATCTGCCCATCCTCTGACCCTTTTTTTTTAACCACCCGCTTGCATGCAATCATCTATTAAACATGAACACTCTGCAACCAGTCCACTGTGTAGACCCACATTCATCACAATCCATTGCAAGGTCCCTGAATTGAGCGTTAGTTTACTTGGCAACTTGTCAAAAAGCCCCTTTGCTTTTGGTTTTCTAGCTGCTGCTGACTTGTGTTTTCTTGAGTTTCTCCTTTTCGACCTGAGAATCATCCAACTCCTTGACATCTTTGCTGAATTTACAATACCAGAGGAAATAAATGGGCCACGACTGCACTTGTGGCGGAGATGTACAGAATAAGAGACATGCGACATTAGAAAGTCATTATATTCTGAAGATTATATAGTTGTAATGTAGTTGTAATTCATAATCTTTCATGGGAAGTTGTAGTAATATATTGTGTTTGCATAGAATCTTCTCTTAAGGGTGATAATGAGTTCACTAGAGAGGAAAAAGGAGCCATCTGCAGATGAACATCATAATGTGCAGACTAATTATTCCTCCATATCTAATTGACTGACTAATTAAGAGCGATAGTGCCGACGATTGATAAAAAAAAAATCCCACACAGATCTGCTGAGATATCAACTATGTCGCACTGCTCACATCAATGCAACTCAGATGATGAACGTCTGATTAAAATTTCCTTTACCTGTTTACGAAAACCTGTTCGTAAAAAGGTATACAAAAATCTCGAACATACAAAT